TTAACGGATTATCCGTTAAGAAAATTGAATAATCCGCCCCCAAACCGATAAGCCGTTAATAAAGAAAATTCAATCCGTTCCCCGTCCGTTAAGCCGTTACCAGTAAGCCATTAAGCTTCGGTTCGGATCGGTTTTCGGTTTCGGATCGGTTTTGAACACCCCTAGCTTCGATCCTCGAATGGTAGTCCTTTGCCTGGAGCTGATTTTTTATACGGAAGAATGCGAACAACTGCATCCCAATGACTATCACAGGGAGAATTCATAAACTGACTTACAACACTCACCGGAAATGAAATATCAGGTCTAGTCACTATGAGGTAATTTAATTTTCCAACCAGTCGCCTATATCTTGCAGGATCGATAAGAGGCTCCCTCTGGCAGAAGCTTAGCATTCGGATCCATAGGAGTGTCAACCGGTCCGCAACCCATCATTGGTATTAGAGCCACTCTTGTGTCAGCCTTGTCGATGGTGGGTCAGAGGTCAACTGAGTTTAGGCAAATCCCAGTTAGGCAGCGCAAACCTCAGTGCTGAGTCTAGAAGAATCCCATGCGGTGGGCAAACCTCAGCGAGGACGCTGAGTCCATAATAGAGGGTGTATGTAACACCCAGACTTTAGACAAAGTCCCACGTCGGCAAAACACAAGAGGGATGCTGGGTATATAAGTTAACAAGCCTTAGTCCCTAGTGACGAATTTTAAACCTGTGAAGGCCTAGGCCCAGAGCGGACAATATCACTAGCGGGCTGGGCTGTTACACTCCCTCTCAAGTTAGTGTATATAAATTATATGTATCGAGCTTGTTACATATGTAACTAATACGGGAACCAATGAGGGACTTAGTGAAAATTATCTGCAAGTTAATCATTTGACTTCACAAACTTCGTAACAATATCTTCTGAGAGTATCTTCTATCTGATGAAGTGATAGTCAATCTCAATGTATTTAGTCCTCTCATGGAACATTGGATTTGATGCACTATAAAGGGCAACTTGATTATCACACACAAGTTCCATATGGCTGATTTCTCCAAATTTTAATTCTTGGAGCAACTGTTTGATCCAAACTAGCTCACATGTTACCATGCCATGGCCTAATATTCTGCTTTTGCGCTAGATCGAGCAACTACATTCTGTTTTTGCTTTTCTAAGAGAGCAAATTACCTCCTACTAAAACACAATATCCAGATGTGGAACGTCTATCAGAAGATGATCCTGCCCAATCAACATCTGTGTATCCAGCTATATGCTCATGGCTTTGATCCTCGAATGGTAGTCCTTTGCCTGGAGCTGATTTTATATACGGAAGAATGCGAACAATTACATCCCAATGAATATCATAGGGAGAGTCCATAAACTGACTTACAACACTCACCGGAAATGAAATGTAAGGTCTAGTCACTATGAGGTAATTTAATTTGCCAACCATCTGCCTATATCTTGCAGGATCGCTAAGAGGCTCCCTCTGGCAGAAGCTTAGCATTCGGATCCATAGGAGTGTCAACAGGTCCGCAACTCTGTCTCCTCAAGAATGTCTAAAGCACATTCCTTTGTGAAGTAACAATACTTGAGCTAGAGTGAGCGACCTCAATACCTAGAAAGTACTTCAATTTTACTAGATCCTTAGTCTGGAAGTGCTGAAATAGATGCTGCTTAGATTAGTAATACCATCTTGATCATTGTCAGTAATAACAATATCATCAACATAAACCATTAGATAAATACACATATTAGGAGCAGAATGCTAATAAAATACAGATTGATCAGCTTCACTACGAGTCACTCCTGAATAACTGTGCTGATCTTACCAAACCAGGCTCGAGAAGATTGTTTCTAACCATTGAGTGACCTGCGTAATCGACATACAAGACTCTAGACTCCCCTTGAGCAACAAAATCAGGTGGTTGCTCCATATAAACTTCATCCTCAAGATCACCAGGGAGAAAGGCATTCTTAATGTGCAACTGATAAAGAGGCCAACGACGAACAACAACCATGGACAGAAAAAGGCGAATATATGCTACTTTAGCCATGGGAGAGAAAGTGTCACTATAATCAAGCCCAAATATCTGAGTATATCCTTTTGCAACTAGACGAGCCTTAAGCCGATCAACTTGGTCATCCGGGCCGACTTTGACTGCATAAACCCAACAACCAACAGTAGACTTATCTGAATGAAAAGGAGCAAGTTCCCAACTACCACTCGCCAGTAAAGCAGACATCTCATCAACTATAGCTCGTTGCCATCCTGATGAGATAATGCCTCACCTGTAGACTTAGGGATGGAAACAGTGGACAAAGATGATACAAAAACATAATGATGGTGATGACATACGCTGATAACTTAAACCAGCATAATGGGGATTAGGATTAAGTGTGGATCATACACCTTTCCAAAGTGTATTCGATGGACTAGGAGGAGACACGTCCGCAATTATCTAGGCGTGATGCTGGACGTGGACGACGATGATAAGTCAAGAGTGGTGGCTGGAGATGTAGGAGGAGCAATTGTAGACTCCTTAAAAGTCGGTATAGGGAGGAGTGGCTATGGTGGTGTTGTGGCTATAGATGTGGATGTCAGAGGAGGGATAATAGATTCCTCACACGTAGGTACAGGTAAGACCTCGGATATATCAAGATGATCTGATGAAGTATGAAGTAAAGTAAGGTTAAGACTCAAAAAATGTGACGTTGGCTGACATAAGATACCTACGAAGATCAGGTGAGTAGCAGCGATACCCCTTTTGAACCCGAGAATAATCAAGGAAGACACGCTTGAGAGCACGGGGAGCGAATTTATCTTTTCCAGGAGCTAAATTATGAACAAAACAAGTACTCCCAAAAACACGAGGAGGAAGAGAGTATAAGGGTGACTTAGGGAACAATACTGAATGTGGAATTTGATTCTGGATGGAAGATGAAGGCATCCGATTAATTAAGTAACCAGCTGTAATAACTGCATTGCCTAAAAAATGCAACGGAACATGAGACTGAATGAGAAGTGTGCGAGTAGTCTTAATGAGATGCCTATTCTTTCTCTCTACTACCCCATTCTGTTGAGGAGTATACAGACAACATCTTTGATGGATAATACCTTGAAAAGTCATAAACTGCTGAAACTGAGAGGATAAGTATTCAAAGGCATTATCACTATGAAAAGTGCGAATAGAAACACCAAACTTAGTTTTAATTTTACCACAAAACTCTGGAATATAGAAAACAACTCAGAATGATCTTTCATTAGGAAAATCCAAGTACATCTTGAGTAATCATCAGTGAAACTAATAAAATAACAAAATTCTAAGGTTGAGCAACTCTACTGGGATCCTATATTATGTCAGAATGAACTAAAAAAAAAATAGACTCTGCATGACTCTAAGCACTACGTGAAAATGTAGCTCGAATATGTTTTCCAAGTTGACACTACTCACAATCTAACATAGGCAAACGAGGCACCATCTTTTGAAGCTTGGATAAACTCGGATGCCCTAAACATCTGTGAATTAGGTCTGGACATGCTATGGAAGGATTGAGTGAGTTAAGATAGTAAAGACGTTGTGATTCACGCCTTGTGCCAATAGTCTGCTCCGTATTACGGTCCTGCATAATAAAAGAATCATCCATAAAGTATATATCACAATGAGGGCACGAGTCAAACGACTAACAAATGCAAGATTAAAAGGACAACTAGGGACATAAAGAACAGGATCTAAAGTGACAGAGGCCAGGGGACAGTGGGACTAGCCAAAATCTTGGCCGCATACTGAATCAAGGTCATTAGGAAGTCCAGCGACGGTGAGAACTAGAAACATCTTTTTTTGTTGCTATTGCTGCTTTTTAACGCTAGCAGAAACTGGCGTCAACTTCTCAAATTTCTCCATGACTGCCTGTACTTGTTCCAAGTAAGTAGACATATCCGATTCCTGTTTCTTTAAATTTGTCATTTGCGATATCATATCTGAAAAATGAGATATGTCATTAGTGTATAAAGTGCACGCCTTTTCACAAACTAAATAATATGTCTGGAATGGACGAAATAAGGGCATCAACTTGGAATCACAGATCGTCGTAGAATACTGTATAACTGAGCAATCGATCTTCTCTCAAAGTGCTTTGGCCTTTTCATCTCCCTCACTAGCCTTTTTGGTTAAATGATCTTGAACACCTTGGCCTTTACACTACAACTCGACAGCCGAAGTCCAAGCTAACTAGTTTGAACTTCCCATTAAAGGTTCCAAAGTAATCAACACTTAGAACTTTTAGAACCCCTGTTTTTACAACCAAAAACATCAAATCCCTAAGACATCGTTGGATTCGAGAGAGGTCTAACAAATTATCACCAAATAACAGAAAGAATCAATTGTAACTCACTGAACAGACAAAGGAAACACTATAGTTTCCGGAAAAATCACTATAGCTGCCGGAAAATCAGTGTAATCGCCTGAAAAATGCAAAGTGATCGGAATAAAAAGAGAACAATATGGGTAGGCTCGGAATTACTGGATAAGCAAACTGTCCTGAAGAAACTTTGTCAGAAATGGCCAGAAAAGGTCGTACTCGGAAACCTAGCTTCTGCTGGCGCGTGAAGGGCCTGCTGTCGGAGAGGCTAACTGGGGTTTGATCGCCGGTGCGTTCTGAACCTAATGGTTGTGTTGATTTTTGCAGAACACTCACTGAAAGTAAGTTTACGCAAATCAGATCTGAGGAGTCACCGGAAAGACGCACGGCGGCAGATTTTTTTCTGACCTGGATGTTTTTCAATGCTGCTCTGATGCAATGTGAGAAATAGCACGAGAAAAATATATTAGTGATATGTTATATTATGTGTTTTACAATATCCCTATTTATATTAAACATTATACCTAAAGCCTTCTCTATAAATGTGGGACACTATAGATGAACTAACTCTAACAAAAGATAAAGCCAGTCAACTTGCCCAGCGCAAAAATTACTTACTGTAAAAATTTTCTTGAATGTATCTGATTTGGTATTTGCATATGATGAGAATATTTGAATAGTTGTCTTCTCTTGGATATAAGGTCCCCAAAACTTGCTTCTCCTTTGTTGTGTAGTTTTTTTTTCCTAATCCTGTCTTCATACGCAGAAAAGTTATCTGGACAGTATATTAGATGGAATATTGGAGCGCATATCAGATGGCGAGATTGGTAAAAGTGAACTATCAAGCTTGCAATCAATTCTTCTGAAGCTTCTTAATCATTTTGACAACCTAGAGAACATATTGCAATTGGTAGGCTACTTGTTGTTGTGGTCGCTTAAGCTCTTTTTCCTTTTACTATTGTTTCTTTGTCTGTCCTACTAGTCATTTTCTACCTTATTCTGTAGTCAGATAATAACAGGATAAACAATTCTCAATATACACTTTTACTTCTTGTAAGTTGGGGGATATAAATTACTTAATGTTGAGCTGAACTACCATCATCATTTTGCAGAACCATTTCAATCAAATATTAAGCATGATGCAGGGGAGCTCTAGAACCATTATCAATTTGCGGATTCTTAGTATAGCCATAAGGTATATTTGTTTTTACGAAATGTGTGTTTGAATATCAATTTTTGTTTATTGAGCAATAATCTGTGGCATTTCTTCCTGCATAAGTATATCCCTTGCACCATTTAAGATGGAAAAAAATGCTCCTATTGTTTAAAGCGACTGCATATGACCTGTCTGACTCACCTACCTTGGGTGTAGTTTTAAGATGATAACCACTTCTCAAGCTCTTTGATCCATCTAGAAACAGTATACTCTTAACTATAGTGGACTGCAAATTTTCTTGTTGGTCAATCAGCTTGACAGGTGGTTTTGGACAGTCTTATCTTAAGGATATACATGGTCTCTGTAGGAAAATGGATAATTCCCCTTTATCTAAGTTTAACATCTATAAAAAAACCAAGTGAATGACCACTTTGATCCCAAAAAAGCCTTTAACCATTTTGACGGAAGTACACTAAGCAATTATAGTGGCTCTTTATAATATTTGTGAATGGCTATTCAAGTCATGATCCCTCAGAATTGGGAAGGTCATTGCCATCTCGCCCATAAATGAAATGCATCCTCATTAATTGTTGTCAGGAAATTAAATTACAACAACAACTATGCCTCAATCCCAAATTAGTTGGGGTTGGCTATACAAAACTTCATTATCATAAATACTTTGTTTGGGTTCGTAAAATTTGAATACTCCATACTTAAGTATTATATAACTCTATGGGTTCTCTAATATACTCTAGTGGTTATAACCTAATATACCAAGAGTCTTCTAGTAAGCACTAATCTTCTAGTTGGTATAGCTGTACATATTTTCAACTGCCATTGTTTTCTATGTTTTGCTAGATCTACTTGGAGTTCGAGATATTTAATCTTTTAAGATAAAAAATTTCCCATGTGATTTAGGTCTACTTCTTCCCCTTTTAGCCCTTCAATTATCATGTTTCCACAACTAAGAGTCTGTGCATTTGGAGGCCTACATAACACATGGAGAAAACGTATGTGCTATTTGCACCGTTTAAACAATGTGATTATTTCTGATCATATCTAATCTTGTATGACCACACATCCATCTTAACATTCGCATCTCTGAGACATTTATCTTTGTAAACTTCAAAATTTTGTTGGATCAAGCCCATATGAATTTGGGCTAAATCCCAAATTAAAGACACATTGGCCCAGGTCAACATTTTGAGTTAACAAACGAGTTTATTTAAGTCAAAATTACATGATTTAAGTAAATTCCAATTGCATTTTGGACTAGGCGATTAAATTGGGCCTCGATAAGACAAGCACAATTCATGGTATTCTAGCCTAAAAGTCCATTAAGGATTTCTTGGAGACTACTCTACTCTAAATTCTGGCACACACCATTTTTTCTCACATTTATTTTGTTATGGCAGTTATTTATTTTCTGTATGCAAAATTTGGACGTACAATCTTATGGACATGTTGGGCTTTAGAGGCCCAACATTCACTCCCATACAACATTGTCGGCCTTACAATTATTCTATACAACTTAACTGAAGTTAAATTTGCAGCAAAGCTAACTGATGTTTTTCTCATCTGTGGATATTTCTAGATGTGGAAATCACAGAGAAAAAATTGAATACACGTCTAACTTATGCAATACATTGTAAGGTGCAGTTTGCAGCAAGCTCGTCCCTTGCTGGAAAAAATTTCAGTTGCTCCTTTAGGTTAAAATGATGGGAAAGAATGACAACATGATGCTTAAACGTGCCTCTTGATGCAGTAAACACACTATGACAGAAAATATATATAGAACACACACATACACACACATAGAAATCCCCGAGGACCAATGTGTACAGTTCAAAACTCAGTGGATAATGGGTTCGTCCCTTTATCCTTCTCCACTTAAATATCACGCTTTTGTCTGCGGCAGGCTTCGAACCCGTGACAGCAATATGATAGAAATATATTGCTCAAACTACTTTTTAATTCCAATCAGTTGGTGTGTGTCTTGATCATGCAAGAAAATAAGGATTTGTAAGAACTGTTGGGTGTTGCTTGAATTCCGTTTTAGATTTTTGGTTGTCATTCTAAATGAGAAAAGGTAACCATGAAATCATGAAACCATGCTACTAGACGGAAATGGAAATTCCAAAATATGGAGCAGACTCTCCATGTTGTTTATATTGCTGTCTGCTTAAACACGGGGGACATTGTCCAGTTCATGAGCTTTCCATTTTGAATTTTTCTATCCGCAATTTATCCCTGAAAACATGCAATGCCTCCGTGTGTTATCTCCGTTCTGTTTGTCACCATGCTGTCTTCTCTTTCTGAAGTATCTGCTCCTCCCTCCCCTCAGCTCCACCAATTTTGCCATCTCCAGATCATGCTCACAACCACTCTCAAGCTATGGATGTCTTCCTCTTTATTTAATTCTATGTACCATTTAAAACTAGTGAAATAATTAAGAGGTCTTTCAGCTTTCCTCTTGCTTTCTGAAGAAGATCCAAAGCGAGCTGCAATGAAATTTGAATTTGTACAGTCTCTATTTCTTCTCCCAATTCATATGTTCTTGATTTTCTATCTATATGGACCTCTAATGATCTATTTTCAGCAAATTTTCTAAGAAATTATTAGACGAAAATAGAAGAAAAAAGATTGTTTAAAAAGATTTTATAGAGAGTTATGTTTTAGAGAGCAGATGGAACATGACTTTAGACTTTAGATATTAGTATCTAGGTCAACATGTTGATGCTGAAACCATTCTTCATTTCTCCTTTCTATTCCTAATATTTCTTATGATGGATAGAGGGTGTTTTCTGTTTTTGCTCTCTATTGTTGCCTATGATGTTTATTCATATGTATTGTAAAGTACACCTTTTTCTGGGACTGTCCCGAATTGTCACCTACTTTCTAGGGCACGTTTAAATTTGCTTCTATTTTTAGAAGAGAACTTTTCGGAAAACAAATTGTCAGTTACTACACTCATGTACTGGAGCTAACTCTATTCTGTAACTCGTTTGCTTAGCATCTTCCTGATGCTCTTTAATGATACCTTTTTGCTTCATCAAAAAAAAAAAAATTGTCAGTTCCTCTCATGGAAATAAAATTGTTATTTATCCTCTCTTTTCTTTTCTCCATTAGGAATACTTTTGTACGAGATCCTACAACCATTCAATTCCTTTTCGAAGTTTCAAGGTCCTTGCATGATAGCATAGATCTCTCAAATATTAAGGACAAGGAGAACAATCGTTCAGCACATTTAATATCTCGCTTTATACACATGGTAATGACATATTGTTTGCATATCACTTCATTTTTCTTGATAGTAGGTCAGGAGATGCCAAGTACCGCACATTAGTTCTGTACATGTTCTAACAAGTTTCCTGGTCATAATATTCAGGTTGATTATGGTTCCGAATGTGAACGCCACTTAGCTTTTTTGGTTCAGTGCCGTGGAGCTTTTGGAAGTATGAGCGAAGTCAAGGTTATTGTTTTCCACAATTTGCAAAGATGTCTTAATGGGTTACAGTAAAAATCTTGCTAATTTTCTGCTTCCATGAATTATGCATAGGGGATTGTTATTGGTTATGTGAATTCTTTTTATGTTTCTGTAATATGAATGTGATGTCACTTTGTAGAGGTTGACAATATCCTCGAATTATACTTTTTGTTCTCCAGTTTTTTTTATCCCTGTCAGTTGGTTGTATGAGGTTATTATGCCTTTCTGAAGAGAATTATTCTTTCCAATTCACCTGAATGACCTTAACTATAGTTCCTCTCCTCGTGTGTGTATGCGCGCATATTGATGTGCCTATTGCTGGATGTGGTGAATGAGAAAGTGATCTTATGCCACATTGCCTTCTGCCTAACCTGTTTCGCCCTATATATTGTAAGTACTCTAGTGTGATGGAGTATTTTCTCACACTGCTATGAAGTCTTCCTCCATAGAAGCATGAAAAGTGTTGTCCGATATTATCTTGACCGGTAACGTTCAGTTGTTTACCAATTCTTATGATATGCATGTCAAGTAGAATTCAGATTAGTGTTAGGGAATTGAAGTATGATATATAGCTAAAGAAAAGATCAAGCTTATTAGAACTGCTGCTAAAGCAGTACTATTATTAAGGGAAGTGCAGTGCACAGGAAACAAATGCTTTTGGAGGGATGGAGTTTCAACATAGCTGAGATTCTTTGAGGTCCTTTCATAACTTCTCTATTTCTCTCCCTTCAGATACACCAGAAAGGCAATAAAGCTTTGATTATAGTTGGGAAAAATTGAACCATGGGTATGCAAACAAAAGTTTCTCTATCTTATTTTTATTTTATTTTTGATGAAAGGAAGGGAAAGAAACGCTTCTCCATAATCATGCCACGGTGGCCATAATAAATGCTTTAATATGTAAACGAAAGTTGAACTCTTGTTTACCAACATGGAGGTTGTAAGTGCATTTCATTAAGGTAAAACAGGAAGTTTAAAGTTAAAAATTTTCAATTTAGAAAGGCGTCATTCTTTTTGAAACGGATTAAAAAGGAAAGAGTTTCACATAGAATGGAACAAAAGGAATAGTTAGGATTAAGGCTTAGTCATATCGGTATGCTGATTTTAGGTACAATGATTTTTGGAGTCATTATTTTCGCTAGGGAGTTGTATGTGAGTAATAAATATAAAGAATTTCTAGGGTTCCAAAACATAAATTATTGAATACTGGACTGTAGTGGCTAGGAATGACATAAATAGTGAGGATTCCTAGAGCTGACCTAAACTAACTTGGGATTGAGGTGTAGTTTTTGTTGTTGTTTCCTTTTAATATTGCTACCAAGCTCCCAAGGTTGCCTTTCAAGTTAGCATGGTGATGAAATTTGGACATAGTAGAAAGGTTTGAGCGCGGCATGCATCTTACGTAATTTGATGAGTGACACCTCTGGTATCTTCTGCTTTTTTCAGGAGACTGTTGTTCATTCGAGCAATTTACTGGCGATTAAATCAAGAAGGAACGACATTAGCTGTGTCATTTTTGTCAAATCTTGTATAGCATGCAGTGAAGTTACAATACCATCTATCCCATCTCATCTGAAACAGTTAAACCTCTACTTGGAAACTGCTGAGGTAACATTAACTCTTTCCTTATTCTTATTTTGCACTGCTGATAATTTAGATGCACCTATCTTTTTCTGTCTCTTCAGGTTGCATTAATGGCTGGTTTAGTTTCTCCCTCAGATGGACTTGTAGATTCAGCATTGAGGTGCTTGAATAATGTTGACTTATTGGAAGGTTTGTCTATGAATTTTTCTCCAGATGGCTCGGTGCATATTAGTAGTCAACTCAAAGTTGTATATATGCAAGCACAATACTAGATGGTTTCTTTCAGTGCCCTCTTTATTCCTCTCCCTATTCTGAAAATTTATCACTTACAATAAAAAAGTGGTTTTGGAGTAAAATTTCTCTCTTAATTCCGAGGAAGTTTATATCACCAATTGCCTGGAATATCCATTATGATACATGTAATAAGAGACCAAGTATATAATATAAAAGGTAATGCAGTTTATTCGCACTTTCTATTAGTAGAAAGCTTACTATCGTAACATCGGCAATCGATAATTAAGCATCTCGGTATATTATTTAAAACAGCAACGATGTCAAGCTTGTGTCATTTTGCAAAATTGCATTCTGCTCATGATCAGTTAAAAGCGTCATGATTACCCCTTCCAGGAGGGTGGGTAAAGTGTTTGCTTGCCTCTATTCACAATTTATATTACATTATACTTGCACCAAATGGTTAATGATATGTGCAGCTTAGAGGTTTTGGCAGATGCTCCATGGCTCGCCTTTGTCTTTGAGTTTTTGAGTCAATAGGGTATGGGATATGGGTTTGCTTTTTGAACTTTTGGAGATAATGTTAATGAATATGATAAGGACAAGATTATAAAGAGGAAAAGAGAAGGCAAAGTTCTGATTTATTTCCGTGTTAGAGCAGTAGCAATGTGCAACAATTGCGTGAAGCACATGTGATTGTTGCCACTTACCTCAGTTCTCCAAGAATTTTTCATGTTTGACCCCCGTATATCTTTGACAAAAGACCTGATCAAATACTCAAATTCATGTGTCTTTTGCATCTGTTGTAGAGCCTCCTTTGTCTGAAATTTTAAGAGGCGTTTATGCATGTTGTTGTATCAAGAAGCAACCAAATTTAAGACATTCCACCCTTTCTCGCAAATCCCAGTTTTATGATGGTTTTCTTTGGTAAACTATTGAATTGCAATAACATTATCTGCAGGCTCAAGGATGCCCAAGGACATTGATGGGTTTCAATCAGTATTATGCAAATTTTGCAGTCTTATTGTTATGATTCCAGGTTTTTTAATCTGTTCCTCTTCAGTTCTATTTTATTTGTCCTTTGTAATGCTTCTGTATCTTGTGATCTTGGAACTTAGGAGTTAGGACAGCATGCTGGAAGTAAGACATAGTAATATCAACTGGTTGGAATGGCCACCTGGTGCACCTATAATGTGAAGAATTACGTGAACAAACTGCATATGGATGTAGCGTAGCGGACAAAATATGCACTAATTACAAAAACTTGAGTCAAGTCTGACATTTTCCAGTATCCCAATAGGCATGGGCTAAAATGCTCAAAATAAAGTGGGACACATATAGGAAAAAGTGGTTATTCAAAAGCTGCTTGAAGAATAGTCAAATAATCAAAGATAATGTCAGCCAACGCCATTGCGTCTTGAATGGTACAACATTCTTAACTGGAACGAAAGGGAACCTGAGAAAGTAAAAGTAGAAAGAGTTCTCTTACATAACCTCCAGCTACTAGGACTATTTCTCCCTGTTTGGTAGGGCTGCCAGAATTTATCTAGAACCTTCTTTTATAAGGTGATAGGATTGGTGGGGATAAATAAAAGCTTCTAGCTTCCAAGACAGTGCAATCGAGAGACTACTACTAGATCGGAGGGGTGACTAAAACGAAGTGATGGAGAAGCAAACAGTTGCGGAGTTGGATCATGAAATGTCTTTAGGTAACTCAGCAGAAATCAAATATAGAGGTTTTGTTGTGACGAAGATTATTGCAATCATATAAAGTCCTTTTTTTGCAGAAATTATGTTGCTAATCGTGGAATTATTGGAACCCTTTGAGATGAAGCGTGTTCCTGTTGCTCATCTTTATAAGCACTTGCATAAGATTGGCCACAGTTGGTATCCAATTTCCTACAATTTGGGTGTTAATTTGGCATTGAGAACAAATATTTTAATTGTGCTTTAAGGCCCAGGAACTTTGTCCAAAGAACTGTATAAACTGATTTCTGTTATTTCGATAAAGCATAAACTGATTCTCTGCCTGAATTTTGTGGAGAAGTAAATCGACTCCACCCTGTTGGTAACATCTTTCTAACCAATGTAAGCAAAATGTTAAACATACAAATTTGCTCCGATATTAGATGTCAAAAATCTTAGAATGAAGATCACACTATCTTGCCAATGAGCTTTACAATATTGCCTTATGTCCTGGATTCTCATTCTAGGTGACATAGAACGAGGAGTCACTAGCATCCCCAGGAACATGTTTTCCATCCTCAGCTCCTTGTCATGGTGAGACAACCTTATTTCTTCTTTTATTTTATTGCATTTGCATTCCATTCTCTATTAATGTTCTATTGTTGTGTTACAGGATGCTGCCAAGTATGAAGGTGAAGGTGTTATGTGCACTCATCTTAACATTTGCTGCATTATCACAGAATAATCTCCTGTACCATTCAATACATGATGAGGTATTCCTGTTGTTTCATATCTAAGAATTTTGGTTATACATTACATCAATTTTCAGATATATAGTATTTCATGCAAGGAATCTGTTAGTATGTGGTTAAGCTTGTAAAAGGATATCATTTGTGCTAAAGCAATTAAAGATGATTTATAGAGATGAACTACCTGGTGCTATAATTAGGCCTTACTCTTGTATATAGTGAGATCTGGAGCAATATATAGAATATATTGGACAAGGAAGTTTTCCATAATGATGCATTGCATCATCATCTCAGTATCTAGTTCTTATGCTCAGGTCTATAAGGTATCTAAAGTCAAGCACATTGATATCCTGTTATCCAGCTTAGCAGATAAGATGGTTATTCTCCTTCTTGGGAATATCATTCATAAGGGCAGCAGTGACATAGAGCATGATAGTGCAGCCTCATCTGACATTTACATTAGTGATAACTAGAGATGAATTCTGAACCAAGGGATAGGTGTCACTACTGTGCAATGCATCAACTATAGTGAAGTAGGAAGAAATTATATTCCTTCTAAAGTCAGCTGATTAAGAAATGAGATAGGTTGAATGAAATGATTCACTTCATTCAGGATGAGCGGGCTCTTTGTATGGAAAATGGTTATGGATATTCACATGTGAAGAGAATGCTATGGGAAGAAGGTGATTTAGGTGAAGTATGGATGTGACTAATATGGATGTTAAGGAGGTGACAACTATGTGTAACGACAAGCATGTGGAAACGAATTATAAAAGGGAATTTGATCTTTTCAAAGTTCATTGGATTCTAGATGGGAAATGTATACTGAATATGGTTCTGCCTTGATATATGGTGTGGTGACACCACAGTGAAAGAAGGCTTCCCAAATTTATTTTCTATTACGAGTAAAAAGTCATTTTAGCAGAGGTCCATAAAGTGGTGCGCCTCAGTTGAGTTGAGATGTATTCTTACAGGACCTTTACAGGGCTGGGAATTGAAGAGGTGAAAACACTCTTCCAGAGGTTATAAAGTCACACAGTTCGGAGCGGATGATAGTTAGATTCTGAAAGGGTCGTCTAGTAAATACTTCGCGGTGATGTCATGCTACCATGTTTTGTTTCTGTTGAATGGGTAGAAGCAACATTCGTCTGGAAATCATTATGTAGATCTCGAGCTTCAAGGATGATGGAGTTTTCTATGTTGTATGCAGTATAGGATGTTGTTTTGGCATTACAATGGAAAAAATGTATTATCATTAGCTGTTGTTTAACATGCAAACAACTCGGAGATGACACTGACCACCTGGTGTTACATTCAAGGGCAGATCCACCAAGGAGGGAGGGGGTGCAGCGGCACCCGCACACCTCGGTCGAAACCCTATATGTATGTGTACTTATATAAGAAATAGTATGAATATGCTGAAATCGCACCCTGATTAAGAAAAGGGCGTGAGGTGCCACTGGCGAAGGGCCAAATGACCAGCCCACGAGGCAGGAGTTTGATTCCAGCCTAATACACTTTTAAAACTTTTTTGTTTGCTCCAGGAGCTTCTCCTCCAGTTTTGTCCAACAGTTCATTCCGATCGTGCCAACTCTTAAGGACAAGATCCAAGGGTTACAATCTAGCGATGCTAAAAATAAATAAAATTGTTGATTTCTCCTTACTCTCTAGATCCTCTCTTTTAAATTTTCAAACATCTGAAAAAAGGTGAACCACTTTTTAAGGATCATCAGCTCATTTGTAATTTGTCTATCTGGAAATCAATATAATTAAATCTATTAACTATACTCTTTTTTTCTCTAATTGTTGCTGACTCTTTTTTTCTTTATTAGTTCCTCCAATTTTTTTCATTTTATTAATAGTTCTTGCTGACTTTTTCTACTCCTTTTTCTTTAAACATAAAATATATTAAAGTTTCTTGTTCATAATTAAAAATTTTAGAATAGAAGTCCATTAGCAAACTAATTAAATTTTAAAAAAGAAGTCCATTAGCAAATGATTAAATTTTCTCATTCGATTGGTTTGTCTATATATAGACTAGTAACCCAAACCGACGCCCAAAGTAGATCAAACCAACCAAATGTATACCCTATTTGGAACATGTAAATTGCAACATGTCTATGTTCACAAAAGTGTTGCACCTAGAACCTCCAAATCTTGGATCCGCCTCGGGTTATATTGTACTTTTGTTTTTTGGGGGAACTTTAGGCTTTGATATTTTATGCTTATATCAAGTGGGCTTTTCCTAAGAATTGTGGCAGAAATGTTGATTAGCAGGTTCAGAGCTATAAAGAGGGTATGGAAGAATGGCAGATTCCTGTTTTTTTATTTATTTTTTGTGTGGATAATACGGAGAGAAATAAGTAGGTATAATTGATTAAAGTATAGAGAGAAAGAGAAGAGGACTTCTGAAGGAGCCGAGAGTTGGTGTTGAGTTGTATCCCACATCGGTGGGTTATGGGTATCTTGGTCTTCTTATATGGTCTTGGGCAATCCTCACCTCACAAGCTAGCTTTTGGGGTTGAGTTAGGCCCAAGGTCCATTCTTATGATGGTATCAGAGTCAGGCCCATCCCAATTATTGTTACCGATGTTG